AACTGTCACATCTATTATGCACTAATTGTCACACCTATTATGCACTAACTATCATGCCTATTATACACTAACTATTATACCCATTATGCACTAACTGTTACACCCATTACACACTAATTATCACACCTAGAGATTAAGCCCGGGTAAGAGTTACCCGGGTAACCCGTATAAGCATTTCTTAATCGGGTCATGGTCATGCTACCCGGATAACCCGTTATATCTGATTGGTTAATTTTTGTAAATTTACCCGTGATTATTTGTGATAATCGACCAATCAAATTATATTATTTTAAACAGAAAACAAAGTCTACAAATAAAAATTATAAAACACAAAAAATAATATTTGTCAACAAAACTAAGCGCACTATACATTTTACTATTTATTAATCTAAATCTACTACCTACAATCAACAGATTTAGAAACGTTAAAAGAGCCCAACAAACTCAAACATAAGCCCAGTTTTTTAGTACAATGAGCTTACACCAAGTTAAAGGGTTAGCAATAGTTTATTTAGATTAATTTGGCTGTCTTTTAACAAACGTATTCTGATTACTTTTCTATAGTTAGTTGACTGTATATAGGGTTGAAAATTACATTTTACAAACTTAAAATACATGTAATTTCACGTATGATATATAGTACCGGCACTATGAAAAATTCAGCTAGCATTATTGAACTACAGTAGATTCTGCATAAAGTTCACTGACCAAATCGACGGATTTTCTCTTGACGGCACTCAAATGTTGAATATATTTTTTCTAAGCAAGTCCATGAGGTTCCCCGTTATTTTGTCGTAATGTGATCTACTAAATGAAAATAAAGACAATTATAAGTCTGAATTGTTGCTTTGTGAGTTTTTATTTTATGACAATAATTCACTAATAGAACATGAGTAGTCGGATCTATTAAATGGTCAGTTTAAAAAAAACTAAACAAAAACCTTTGATAAGATAGCCTGTGTTTTTGATTATTGCTTTATATTACTACCGCTCAGCATCAATGCTCCATAATAGGATATTTAGTGTTTGCCAACTGCTATAAAACATCGTGATATCTTGCTAGTTTTCTTGTCATAATACATACTTATGTACTTGTAGAAACAGCAGAGACAGTGCCCGATCCAAAGTGAATCCCTCTCGTTTGTGATCAATCACAAATTATTTATGTTACATTCAATTTTGGTGAATATAGTCCCTTACCAGTTTTAATATATGCATAAGATTAACAGTCTTTGCTGTAGTAGAAATGAGAAAATCATTTTTGTTATAGGTTTGGTAACTTTCATTACTTGAAGTTAGTTATTTTATTATTTGATAAAGACCAAATTTAGTAATGCCATGAATTTAAATATATGACTAATTTAGGATGGGCTTAGGTTCTTATTTGAGTTATGCATTTCAAGCTGGCTGAGTCAATATGAAGAACATATCATATGATTATGACTGTATCAGGTGTTAAGAAATATGCTGTTAAACAAAATTGCATGATATTTGGTTTAAGAGAAAAGAAATCGCCATCATTATTGAAGACTGCATTGGAAAGATGCAGTAAAAAAAAAATTGCGTGACAATTTTAAAAGAAAATTATGTTATAGTGAAGATATAGAATTAATTACTTCATTACAAATTATATCGGAAATGCAATTAGAAAAGTTGCGTGATGTTATAATGAGTTTAAGAAAAGAATTATATGCGCAAGATTACCTTTATTGAATTATGTATTCAAATCTAGAGGAATTAGGGAATACCCAAGTAAAAATAGTGTAAATTGCAGTAAAAGTGTAGGATTCGCATTATTGGATTATGCCGCAAATTAAAAAATTGACGTAAATAATCGTAATAAATTACGACAAAAGTGTAAAATCAAAAATGTATTTAATCAATGCTTTTTAACCTTGAATAAATTTTCATCAATAAATCTGATTCGAATTCTTTATTTTTGTTTAATTGAAAATCGTCATATTTAATAAATCCGTCATTCTAAACTTTACATATACTTGATATAAAGTATCGCTTATATTTTCCATTGATATTAAAATTGCTTAATATTATATACTAAAATTACAATAAAAAAAAATGGAATCTCAAGAAGAAACTGTATACACTAACAAAACCAATAGTGAAAGTGATAGTAACAATATGCCTTCTTCTACAAGCACATTAGCCGGTACTAAAAAAAAGAGAAATAGAAGTAAGAAGAGTTTCGTGTGGAAGTACTTTACAGTAGTTGAAACAAAAGATGAAAAAAAAGATGTATGTCAAGTTATGGTTAAGAAAAAAGAAGAAGACAAAAAATGTGAAGTAGAATATATTCATGACAATTCAACATCAAATATGATTGCTCATCTAAGATCGCATAATATCATAGACAATAAAAAACAAAAATCCGAAATACAACAAAATAAACAAACTACATTAACTGAATTAATCCGATCTAATATTCCACATAAGGTCAATAAGCAAAAAGAATTAAATAAAGCAGTTGTTGAGTGGATACTTCTCAATAATCAACCATTATCAGCACCAAGAAAAAAAGGATTTCGTCGCATGATAACAAAATTTGATCCGAGATTTCGTCCACCTTCTGATAGAGTTATAAAAAATGAAATAGCATTTAGTTACTTAAAAAATATTGATATTCTTCGACATGAAATCGAACAATCTTGCAAAACTGCTACTATAACAACTAATTTGTGGACTTCGCATAATAACCAAGGCTATATTGGAGTTACTTGCCACTGGGTAACTTCTGACTGGTTATTACATAGTGTATTATTGTGTTGTGAAAAAATGTCTTATCCACATACCGCAGAGTCTATTTATCAATTTCTTCAAACAAAATTTTCTGAATATAATTTAGAAAATAAAATTGTTTGCGCCATTACTGATAATAGCGCAAACATGGCAAAAGCTATTCGATTATGGAATACTGTTACCTGGCTTCCATGTGCTGCATATACTCTGCAGTTAATAGTTAATTCTTCTTTAAAAAAAATTAGCTCAAAAACAAAAAAAATAAAAAAGTTGGTTAATTTTTTTGATTCGCCTAAACAACAAGAAAGATTAGAAAAAGCTCAAATAAATGTAATGGAAAGAGATAAATTACCTCAGTCTAATTTAATTAGTACTGAACCTTATTTTGAAGAAGAAACTGGCGAAGTTAATGATGGTGTTAGTACAGATTCGGAATGACTTAATATAAATGTCGCTCTAAAAACTCTTCGTCTACTTAAAGATTGCCCAACTAGGTGGAACTCCACTTATAGATCTTGGGAAAGGCTTTTAAAATTAAAGGATGCAATTATATGGTTAGAAGCTAATTTAAAAATTTCACGAAATTCAGATGATAAAAAAGATAGACAAAATCTTGCTCAATATTTACCTGATGAAGACGAATGGAGGTTAATTGAAGAATTAGTTAAGGTCTTCGAGCCATTCGACCAGGCTACTGAAGCCTTTAGTGCTGAAAAATATCCTACATTGTCGGTTGTTTATCCTATTATTGAAATGTTAAAATTTGAATTTGCAACAAATTCAAATTTAACTTCAATTAAGGACGATTTTAATGAAGAATATGGTAATTTTTAATATTTTCTATCATAAGTTATTACCAAAATATAATGCTAATATTTACCTTTTTATAATTAGATAGCGATAATGATAATGAAGATGCACAAATACTAGATACTTATGATATCCAATCAATAATTGCTTACACTAAGAAAGCAATTTCTAATTCTCTTTGGAAATATTGGGGTGAACCAAAATATACCGGTCTTTTAGCTACTTTACTAGACCCTCGGCTTAAAAAAATGCGTCCTTGGTCTAATCATCTACGAGAAGAAACAATAAGAATATGCCGTGAAGAACTTGATAACATTACTGATGTGACACCTATACAATCTATTTCTTCCACCAGTACTACTTCAACTAATCGTTATTTTGCATCAATATTTGATAATAATGATGATGATAATCTATTAAATAATAAAAGTGAATTAGATAAATATTTAGAAGCATCGCTTGCATCACCATCAAAACGACCTTTAGAATGGTGGAAGGAACGAGAAAAAGATTTTCTAAATTTAAGTAAGTTAGCAAAAAAGTACTTATCTATCCCAGCAACTTCGGTGCCAAGCGAACGCTTATTCTCAGATGCGGGAAATCAAATAACACCAAAACGAACACGTCTCAGTCCAGAAACTGTTTCTCAAATATTGTTTTTAAAAAGGAATAGTGAATTAATTAGTATCACATAAAAAAATTTTTTAATTTGAATAATTTGCAACTATGTAAAATTCTTTTCTGATCTCTTACGCTATATAAGTAATCCATTAGCTATATTGTCACGGCTAAAACTTGAAATCAGGAACCTTGATTTAAAACTATAAGCACCACCTATATTCTTTTATTAATTAAAATTTCAAGCTTCGGCCGCGATATATATTATTAACTAATTGATTATAGAATAGGATTACCTATATTATAAGAGTTGTTTTTTGATTTTAAATAAAGACTATTAAAGGCTTTAGTTATAAAATACCGTATAATGGATTTCAGAATTAATCTTGCGCATGACATGGTTGAAGTCGGCATCTACTTGAAGTTGAAGTTTTAAGTGTTTAAAATTGCACTATCTGAAATTAGCAACCGAATTAGATCCTTAGTGATTTTGATTTTAAGCGAATTTAATTTTAAGCGCTTGAAATTACAACTCAAGCAAATGTTAATTTAATAATCGCATGTATCATGAAATTTTATTGGATGTAATCATGTGAGTTAGCCGGGTTAACCAGGTTAGGCGGGTTAGACGAGTTAGGCGGGTTAACCGGGTTGGTATCCGGGTAAGGGTTAAATAAACGGGCGGGTGACCCGGAGTAGAATTTTATACCGGGCCTAATCTCTATACAGAACCCATCCACCATGCATACCGGTTTTGAGAGGGCCAACAGTATATTAGTTTATAATCTAAAAGAAGTGTTCAGTTTTGTAGTTTTCAAAAATATTTTTTTTTATTCATAGTTCTCTTACTTATAATCTAGGAAAACTGCTTAGCCAATTTCTCTTGTGAGCTTGTAAGTACTTGTAAAGTTGTTAGCTAAATTGAGTATTGCTTCAAATAGTTTGTTGCCTTTTTAACTGAAAAGTTAATGTTTAGCTATTTATATATTTTAAACTAAGAGATATTTTATAGCCTGTTGTTAGTAGCTATAATAGTTTCTTTAAATCTTTTTCAAACTATTAAATATGATTTTTATATATCTAGCCACCTCTTGAGTCTAATTGAAGTTCTGGTCAAAGCTGTTAAACTGGAATATTTTGTTTGCTTTGTAGCTTTTTTAAGATTATTGCTCTTTTAATTCTGGCCTATAAATCGTTTGTAGTTAGTAATTTGATCCAAACAAATATCAGTTTGAAGTTAAAAATATTTTTAAGAACTAGCATATCCAAACCTCTTCTATTATACTTAAGTTAAAAGATTAAGTATCTAGATAACAGTTTAGATCTAAATTGAAATAAAAGTATTGATTCTGTTTAGTTGTTTTCTACTTAGTAAAAGCAAATAAGCTAAATACTAAATTTTTAAGATAAATAGAACTTTGGCTAGCAGAATTTTTTTTTAAATGAAAGGCTTCTAGCAAAAACTTCGAATCAAATATAGTATAGATTACCTCTTTTAAAAAACTAATTAACTCATTAATTTTATATGATTATTTTATTGTATTTATATTATAATTAATATTGTAATCAATATTTTTTTTATTTTTTTTTTTTTAAGGTGAGGTTTTGCCTTTATCTTTATTAATAATTTGTGTTGAGAATCCACTAGGGGTT